CGACAACTTCGCGAAAAATCAACGTACGATAATGACTTTTTTATTAAATTAAAGCTTGAAACCTCTACTTCGAGACACACTTTCCCGATTTTAAGTTCGACACGCCCGCTTTAGTAATTTAAATGTGAAATCATGTTTGTCATATTTAGAATGAAAAAGAAATTCGTATAAAATTTGACCAACTTTGACTGACGATAACTCCGCGAAATATCATCGCACGATAATGATTTTCTTTTTAAATTGCAGCTTGAAACCTCTACTTCGAGACACTTGTTCCCGATTTTAAGTTTCAAGCACCCTCGTCGCTGTAAGCATTTAAAGGCGCATCATGATTGCTAGCTGCAACATCGCTATTGAAGGAGTTCGCTAGGTGGCCATGTTACTGGACCACCCTGTATAATCTAGTAAGCTCTTTAGATCTCTCCGGAGCTCTGTTTAACAACAGGTAGCCGAACCGAAATTGCGAGAAGTGGCAACAGCCCCGGCAAACGCGAACAAACAACCATGATTCGACGACGATTCCCTTCAGAACAACTCGAAGGGACTATTAGTCTGATCTGCGAACCGTGAAACGGCCGCGGGTTCCGCGGGAAAATTTCAATGGAAATTCGACGGAATTAGGCGAGTCGCAATTAAAGGGACACGGGCGGGACATTATCGCGGGAACGAAATGTGTCTTTGTCCCAGTTGTCGCCCGTCTTCCCGTCTCCCCATCGGGACCGCCTTGAACGTCGTCCAGTGACAATTAAGTTCCCCGAACTTTTTATCCGGCTGCTTTATTTGTTGGAAAATTTCATTATGATTCGAGCGAGGCTGGACGCATAAAGTTCCTTATCGTCGGCTCGGGGAACTTCCTCCTCGCGTTGCCGCCGCTCCTGCCGCAGCGGCGGCAACTTCTTAATCCCCGCGTTACAACCCTTTCCGATCGGTCCGACGTCCCGTGGTTCGGCGAGCAAAGCATCGGCAGAATGGTTGCCGGATTTTCGTGGATTTTCCTGCCGGTTTTGTTCCCCGCCGGCGATGGCCCGGCGAATATCGCCGAGAACTTTTAATCGAATCCCCGACAGTGGCCCATTATGAAAACAATTAATTACCGGGGAGGACACGCTGGTGCGCGGAAGAATATCGAGCACACCGGTAATTTTCGAACTTATTTAAAAGAGTATAGCATTAGATAATTATTTAATATTGAATATTATAAATATCATAAATGTTAAATAATACAAATATTAAATAATTATCTAATGCTATACTCTTTTAAATAAGTTCGAAAATTACCGGTGTGCATTATTAATTAATTATTTAATATTGAATATTATAAATATCATAAATGTTAAATAATACAAATATTAAATAATTATCTAATGCTATACTCTTTTAAATAAGTTCGAAAATTACCGGTGTGCATTATTAATTAATTATTTAATATTGAATATTATAAATATCATAAATGTTAAATAATACAAATATTAAATAATTATCTAATGCTATACTCTTTTAAATAAGTTCGAAAATTACCGGTGTGCATTATTAATTAATTATTTAATATTGAATATTATAAATATCATAAATGTTAAATAATACAAATATTAAATAATTAATTAATAATGCACACCGGTAATTTTCGAACTTATTTAAAAGAGTATAGCATTAGATAATTATTTAATATTTGTATTATTTAACATTTATGATATTTATAATATTCAATATTAAATAATTATCTAATGCTATACTCTTTTAAATAAGTTCGAAAATTACCGGTGTGCTCGATATTCTTCCGCGCACCAGCGTGTCCTCCCCGGTAATTAATTGTTTTCATAATGGGCCACTGTCGGGGATTCGATTAAAAGTTCTCGGCGATATTCGCCGGGCCATCGCCGGCGGGGAACAAAACCGGCAGGAAAATCCACGAAAATCCGGCAACCATTCTGCCGATGCTTTGCTCGCCGAACCACGGGANTAATTTAATTAAATATTAAATATTTGAAATGTTAAATATCACAAATATTTTTTTAATATCATAAATATTAAATATCACAAATATTAGATATTAGAAATATTAAATATTACAAATATTATAAATATCTGAAATGTTAAATATCACAAATATTAGATATTAGAAATATTAAATATTACAAATATTAAATATAATAAATATTACAAATATTAAATATAACAAATATGACAAATATATTAAGTTTTATAAATATTATATATATTAAATTATTGTGAAACTAAAACGAGTAAAGATATATTAAAAGCTGTCGTAGCTGTACAACGATCTCGTTTACCGCATCTTCTGTATCATTTGCACTAACACAAGCTGGTCCGGTATCGACGCGCAAACAAATGTGCAACGTGCGAGATTAAAAATGCTCGCGTAGCTCGGCGTTATCAAATTATAGAGTTGATCGAGTTCCAGGGGTCGGAGCTTCGAGACCGCAGCAGAGAGCGCGCGAATTTCGCCGGGTCTCGCGTGGCGATTTTTAATCGGACACTCCGAATTATCAAACTATTTTCATCTCGCGAGCGGGCCGACCGGTTGTTAATAACTTATTCCCCGGGAGGGCAGGGTTCGTCGGAGCGGGTCTCGCGGAAACTGGTTAGCTCGCACGTACGCGCAGCGTTTCGGCGCGGCGCGGCGGCGTGCTCGTGAATAAATAGCTCATCCCTCGCAGGCATCCGGCAACGAAGTACAGCGGCGACATTAATTTCCGGCCATCAGGAACGCCCGCCGCCCTCGGCTCGGTTGCTCTTACCCAGCAACGTTTAGCCGGACATTCTTTGCGCGACTGACCGTGTCGCCGCTGGCCCCGGTGTGTTGCTCGATCGCGTAATTCTCGCCCGCTCGCGGAAACACGTACCCGCAAAGTTGAGGAACTCGTTTGTCCGGTCGTTCGGGGCCATCGACGATTGTTCCGCGCACGTACGAGCCGTTTGCCGAACCGAACCGAGCCGCGAAAACTCGGCCGAAACTAATCCGTAATTACTCCGCGGCCTGCCCGCGGATTCTGCGCGAATTTCGAGCGGATCCGCGCTGCTGGATCCTGCGAGACGAAATTACGAGCGTGATTCTTTGGTCGACGGAGGAGCCCTGGTCGGGGTTTATTTGTTCTTCGATAGCGCTGTTGGCCCGTTCAGGGGGTTAGGTGACTTCGAAATCTTTAAAAAAATCGAATTTCTTCTTTTGGTTCTAAATAGTAATTTCAAGTCTTAAAAGTAAAGTGCGAAAGCTGCAATTAGTCTCTGTCTGATACAGTGACTCATATTAACCCTTTGCACTCGAATTTTAATTGTAAATCTAAATTAACTTTACTGACTTACAGCATTTCCATGTTATATGAGCCGTTTATTTTGAAAGTGGCATAAGTCACTTTGTTTTTGAGTCGATATATTTAAGGGTTTGCGTTTTAACACGTTTAAAAATATGGATGCTAACTTTCGAGAAGTTTTACTTGTATTTGTTATCTGAGGATACTGATATTTTTCTCAGTATAAATAATTTCGTGTAAACATTAAAAGATCACCACTTTTCATTACGGTAAAATGACTTAAGCTGCTTTCAAAATAAACGGCTCATATAATAAAGTTCATTTCATGCGTATGGAATTGAGTCTTGTAAAAGTCTAACAACAGTTAGAACAACAATCTGTTATGTCTGAGCTTTGATAATGTAAAAATTATTTTGGCACGTGGTGTAACAATTTTAGTGGTGCGTCAGAGACACCACTCGAGTGCAAAGGGTTAATATTCGGAAACCTTTTAAAACGTAATAACTGTTTTCTAAAACTGGACTAAACGATTTGAATATTTTTTAATATTTTTATCTGAGCCTACAACGAAAATTTAAAAAATGCGTTTTGTATATATTTGTATATATATTTATGTTTTTTTATTATTTATTTATATATATTTTGTATATATATGTTGAACATGTGTTTCATTTTATTGGACTCAGAAAGTGTACCGGCTTAGAAATATTTCCCCTCTTTCTAAAAACGATCACTTATATTATTAATAGCTCTAAATTCGACTTACTCTTATCATTATAAATTGGCACGATTGATTCCACTATAATATTTATGCATTCATGTTGACAGTATGGTGAAGAGGATCGGAGATAATTCTGAATTTTCCACAGGTTAGAATTATCGACAACGCGAACGTACGCTCATCGGCGTTGATTTAATAATATACAAAAACTCCGCTCAGATTCATATTTCGCTGCAAAGTTGTTGAAACTTTAATAAATGTACTTCGGCAATTTGTATAGAGAACTAAAAACTCGTTCGCTCCGACTGTTCTCGGTATTTACAGCGTTCAACACGGATACAATGGGTGCAACAGAATGTAAAGTACAATTAAATTCAATATGACGTTATTAAAGGAAGAAAATTCGGATTCCTCTTTTCTCTTTTTGAGCACCGTGCTCGAACAAGAAAGGAGCCGGGAATCGGGAGAAGAGTTCTGCGTCGTGTTCTTTTTACTTCTTTGACTCGCTCCAAGCCCGTTAACGGCATCTTTATTGACTGTGTAATAAGCGGTTTAATAATTTCCCTTTAAATATATAAACTCGAAAGATATGACAATATGAAATCGATGAACATATTGAGTCGACTAGCCGTTGATTTATAACGTTTATGATAATAACCCCTCTTCTACCTTTTCATATTCGTTGATGCAAAGGCGCTTTCGATGTTTAATTGTATATTCATTCATTATTGCGATATAATAATAAATAAATAATCGAATCCCGAAGTGTGCTAAATTAAAGTTAAACAAGTTAAACAATGCGTTTTCAATTCAATTTAATTACAAAATAATTAACATGTTGTTTCTCCCTCAACGTACTAATCGCTGTGTCTCGGACTGAATGCAAGAAAATTTCCAGGCCGAAATAAACGGAACTTTTCGAACTTTTTGAACGAATCTTTGAATAATCGTCGACGTTTAATAAACAAAAATTGATCGGTTTAATATGCACAAGTGAGAATGCTTACCTCTTTAGCGACCATCATGGCAGTGGGGACGGATTTCATGGAGCCGCAGATGATACCCAACTGGTACAGCGCAAAGATCAATAAGAGGCCAACGAAGCAGATGATGGGCCCCTTTCGACCACCGCGGCTCAAGAGGAACGACATGTCGTCACAATGATCGTCGGTCCGACGTTTCTCGACGTGTTTCGGAAACACGTAGCCGACCACCGCACCGATGTAATTACTGGGAAGAGGTGCTCGAGGCCAACGTTCGAGGGCCTCGTACTTCCGGTTACGTCATTAGCTCATTGCACCTGCCCAACAAAGAAAGCATTCTTGTTAGCCATCGATTTTTATTTAGTCTTCGATCTACTTAACAATTAATTGATCTTACTAGACTTCGGATCTTTAGACAAAATAAAAACTGTCTGGCGACAGACAGGAGACACTCGGAGGTTTTATTCCTTCTGTAATAATTTCGGTAGATTGCACTTAGTATGTCGGTACCATGAAAGGCTTTTAATCTTTCTATTAAAATGCATAAAATTTTTAATTGCATACAATTTCTTTAAATTGCATAACATCATAAAGTTGCATGAATGCATAATATCCGTAGTCTAGACGTAACATTTCGGGTCAGCATTTATTCGTAATTATTCGTAATAATTTGATATTGATCAAATTTTCTTTAAAACTGCAGTTGTCCGATCTTAATACTTTATGTAAGAGCAAAGTTTATTCGTGCATTTGATAAAATGTTCGGTTGGCCAAAAAATCTTACGCATTTTGGGATTTAATGACATGTACCGTTTGGATAAAGTAACATTTTTCAAATGAAGATTCTTGCGTCATTTTGTACTATGTCTATCAATTTATACAATACTTAGCATCTTCCAATATACCGATTAAATTCATTGCAAGAACTCAAGGAGTAACTGTTCTTGTGAACGCGACTTCTCCCTTTAATTCCTTCCCCAATCGATCAATACTCATTCATCCCTCTTCTTGTTCTAATCTTATTCTTATCCTCAATCTATTAAGAGCTCGTACTCCTAACTTTTCTCCATTCCTTTCTTTTCAACTTCCCGTACGGGGAAGTCGTTCTTTTTCTTTCTCGAACTTTCCTATTCACAGTTTTCTATATGCTCTAGAATTTCCGGTACATTTCATCTACCCTCTCTTCCATTCTCGCCACGCATACGTTAAGAACAGACACTAGTAATTAGTTCGCTATCTTCTTCGAAAAATCTGGCGATGTAATTGTAACCTTGGGATTCGGTAGAACTTCGATTAAGCAAACTGGATTTTCCTCGATTTTTATTATATAGATTCTTGATTATTCCAAGTACAGTCGATTCTCCCTAATTGACGTTCAGGTTGTACATAAAATGGACAATTTGGGAAGAGGCTCGTTTTTTGCGCTTCTTGCGGCTCGTTTTTATAGTTATCGATTGCCAACAAGTATAAAAACGAACCGCGAGACTCGAATAAAAATTGTCTCCCAAATTGTCCATTTTTGTGTACAATCAGGGAACGTCAATTAGGGAGACTTTGCTACGATGATGCCATAAAAGGACTTCGATCAAATCTAGAATCTGTCACCTTATCCTATCGTATCAATAATTAATCGAAAATATAAAGAATTTAACTAGCAATTTTGAATTTGGATTTTGAATTTGGATTTCTACTGTATAATGTTCTGTTTTAGACCATATAGTGGTTATCAACCCCAGAAGAATTAATCCTTTGGGTATTTTGTCGAGAAACATCATCTGTTTTAAACTCTGCTAAAGACATTAAAGACAATAGATATTGTAACAATCCTTGTCCCTGAAGAATTTAGAAGTTTCGAAGAAGTTTCGTAGAAGTCTCGAAGAAGAAGGATAATCTGCACTTCAATATCTTGTTTGTGAACGACTGGAGTAATCCCGTTTCGATCTTGTCTCATCTTATCACCATTTCCTAGTTTCAAAGATGGTAATAACTAGACTGTGGATCTTCGTTTAGTGTCATGGACGACCATGCTTGTGAAATACATTGCGGAAAATTTTGGATGCAGTTCGATTATATTACAAATATTTTCAAAATAATTATTGTACCATTATTTTCATAAATATTATTCTATAGTGCATTCAATGGAGTTTAACGTTTACTTTACAGTATGCATTTAAGTAACAGCAAAATTAAAAAGAACTATCTTAGTCATATTATAGTTAACTAGTCCCTAAATATTTGAAAAAAAAATTCAAGTTATTTCGTCGAGTTTGGGTCGGCGGTATTTCGCCACAATGTATTAACAATAAGTTTATCGATCACTAAACGCAACTGTTTTATATTACTTTATAAAGAAAACAATAATATATTTATGCTGATTCTTAGAGCTGTTTACTGTAATATTTGTCCTAAGTAACAACTTTATTGAATAAATTCCTCATAAATGTATATTTATATTTACAATATAAATGTATATTGTATTAAATTTATATTTATAATATAAATGAATATTGTATTAAATTTATGTTTATAATATAAATGTATATCGTATCAAATTTATATTTATAACATAAATGTATATGAAATTTATATTTACAACCTCAATAATCTGATTGAACAATTTAGAATCCGTCATTGTTGTCTAAAAACCGTGAAGTTAGTGTGAAATTTAATTCCCTGTGTGTCGTGTTCGTTCGAACCACCATAGCCACGGGCCCACCCTATTTGCCTGTGGTCTGCCCGGTCTCCATAACTTTCGCTTCGATGGCCCGGTGCCATCGCCGCGGCCCGAACCGGCCCGGTGAGTTCTTTAAGCGCGTTTTGATTTAGCTGCTCCTTCTTCCGCTCCGCGGCTTTGTTTGACGTAATTTATGGATCGACCGGAGATCGTTGTATGCACTTCGCTACGTAAGAATCGCCGATGCATTAGCGCGATAAATCTGCTGCGGATTATCGAGCCACGACCTGGCCCGGCCCGGCCCGACCCGCACCCGCACACCGAATTCTGTTCGATGAAAAGACGTGCGCGCCCGCGCTCGTCCAATATTTGATCGTGTCTCGTAATAATCGAGCAGATCGATAAACCGTTGCGAAACGGATCCCGGGGATGAATTTTCGAGGCGAGGCCCTCTCGGCCGGCGCCGAGCTCGAACTTTGTAATAATACGGGTCTCAAAAGGTTTCCGATAATCTGGCAAAATGCAAATTACACGCGGGACAGGCCAATGAAATTTTAAAGAACCAACGCGCCTTGTACATATTTGTAATTACTGAACCTTTCGTTTGTTTTCGGTCATAATTAATTTCGTATTTGTCGAATAACAAATATTGAATTTTTTTTATTCTTTTATTTTGTTTACTTTTGAATAAAAGAAATTTAATATGTTGTAACATGTCGGGCGTAATGAGCTTTAGATTTATCGAATAAGAAACAATAGATTTTTTAATTCAGAAATAAGCAACATAAAAGAATAAGCAAATTTAATATGTTTTATTAGGTAAATATAATGTTAATTACGCCGGACACATCAAGACGTATTACAATTTTTTATTAAAAATATACAAAATAAAAGCACAAGAAAAATTGAATGCACAACGTACACAGTTTCGAAGTCGTGTGACTCGAATTGCGAATTCAATGGCTATTCATTGTTCTATTTAACAAAATTTCTGGTGCTGTTCGTGAAATTATTTTTATTCAACGCTTTCGCAAATATGTATATATGTATCTCGTTCACAGAAAGTAAACTTCAGTTAATATTCTGCAATAATTAGATCGTGGATCTTAATGGATTTATAGTGATAAAGCCACTAGTGTACGCAACGAAATTCTACTGAATTTCGTAGTTCGTAAAACGACGAATAAAACTACAAATTTACATAGACGCGCAGAATCTCGTAACAATATTTGATGTATGCAGAGTACACAGTGATGGACACGTTGTAAGTGGGAGGTCTTACATAGTTAATTGGTTTTGCGTTGACCGTGGGGATTACTTGTTTAATATTTGCATTTTCAGTCCTGTTATAGCACGGCCGTCGCGATATCATTGCAATTCGGACTATTACAAATTGCATTAGCTTGATCTTGAACAAAGTATTAATACCCAAATTAAATCTATGCAATTATTTGCCATACTCTTGGGAGAGAAGAATTGCGAGCCGATGGAGAATTGCAAAATATTACATGTAATTGATCCTTGTTTTTTTTGCAATTCGATGTAGCGTATTAAAAAATCTTACATGAGGTTTCAGTAATAGAAAAGAAACATTTAACACTATTCTTACCGAAGGTATCCAAAGACATCTTACAATAATTTCTATTTAAATTATTCTATTCTTTTTTCCGAAGAGGTTAAACGACATCTTTTAACAATTTTGAATAGAAATTATTTCTTATGTTATGTACATATAATAAATATATAACAATGAATAAATAAATAAGTATAATACAATATAAACATAATATAAATAAATAAATAAATACATACATATATACATAAATAAATAAATAAATACATACATATATACATAAATAAATAAATACATACATATATACATAAATAAATAAATACATATATATATAAAATGAAACAGTGCCTGAGTTGCATCCTCGCGTTACGTAAAGCCCAAGACAGACCGCGCAGAGACAATTTATGGTTTGAAACCGTGTACGAAGTGAACAGTGCATTGTTATTGCCAGCAAGCATCGCAAGAATTGCAAAATCTTGTGGAATGTGACCGTCGAGCTTGCGGGTGAATCCGGATCGAAGGGCGATTCGCGAAACGCGATCGCCGGATCCGGAAAGAAGGAGGTCGAGGGATCAAAGGACGAGGAAGTCCGTGCAACTGGTTCCTGTATGGTCGGTCCTGTGTCTGCACTCCGGTGACAGCTTTCTATTTCGCGCCTCGCCTTTGACCTCCCATCCTAAAAGAGCGCCGCGACGCGCGCGATGAAAGATGAGGACAATCGCCGTACATATTGCTGTACCTCGCCTACGCTCCAGCGATTTTCCACTTGGAGACCCTACCAGCTACCGGAGAGCACTGAAAACCCGACGAGCTCTTTTCCCAAATAAAGCGCGACGCTTCGTTTCCGTGTATCGGACACGGCTGTTTTCTCCGTCGAGCGTTTCCTCGCCGGCTGCCCGATTGTTCCATCGTCACGTTCGATTCGAGAAAATTGAAACAGGTAACGAACTCTCCGAGGGAACGCCGGCACCCGGGCTTCCCGGAAAAATGCTGATCGCAGACTCGCCGGGAAAGCAATCTCTTACCTAATGGCGTCAATCTTCGATCCGTCACCGCCTCGCTTT